TACATAAAGTTGTTGTTTTAGTTAAATAAAACAATTTAAATGTCTGTCTGGTGATGTTCTCCTCCTAATACAGCATGGCAAGAAAATCCTCCAAATATTAATGATTAACCTGCTGAATTGGAGATATTTATGAAGTCATTGGGAGGTAAACTATCTGCTTCAATTACCTTTGGTAAATGAAATAACCAAACAATCATTCATTTTGTGATATAGCTGTAAAACTAATCTGAAAAATTTTCAAAATAAATCACTTTAAAAATGTATAGTGTGTACCTTTTAAAAATGAAACCTACATCTATCTCTGAGTTGTGAAGAATATGTATTAAGGTTATAACAACAAGAATGCACTTTTATGTAGAAATCCATGATTAAATCGAGTCTTCCTGACTAGTGATTTAAATCATGATTTCAATCAATTTGATTGACATCAAATCCACCCTGATAGTAACTTCGTATCATTGACTTAAGGTAAGTTTAAAACATATTATAAACATACCAAAGACTCAGAGAAGAGAGAAGACACTAGCTTTCGATTCCTCATGTCAACAAAACTTTTGAATACATGAAAATGCTGCCTATAAGAGAAGCTTTTTAATTTGAAGAGATGTTTTCTTGTATAGAGTTTAATGAAATCAATGTGACTGTGATGTACCAGTATAAATAGCTGCCTAATTTTAGAACACAGTGTTTGGCTAATAACGTGTTGTCTGCAGGTGTTATTTTTTTTAACTCCTTTGAGACAATTAATTCTTGCTTGTGAAAGAAACTGCTTAGAGAGATTCCAGCAAAATGCAAGATGTTAAGCTTATTCTCAGATGCTGGTGAAATTCAGAGGTCTGGTTAAAAATAAAATAAAAAGGAAACCATATCTGTCTGAAGAGGAAATATTTGACCAGGACTACTGTGTCATTCAAACTTCACAGTCTGGCAAGGTTGAGTGTGGGGGCTATAAGTTATCTGATCAAAATATACCATTCATGCCCAAGCAAAAACACTTCAAGTGTTTCACACATACAGGTACAGGCATGGCAGGAAACAGAGAGAGCCAAAGATAGTAATCTGGAGGTTAATGCACTTTAGCACTTTGATCTTAATAGTGTAACTAAATTTAGGAACAGCATGGCCAGAAAACCAACCAATTAAATGCATCTGTCATAGCCAAGCCTTGGAATTAGCATAGAGGAAGATAATTTTTCTATTCAGACCCAGAGCATAGGGAACTCAAGAGATCTTTTTTCCTATAAGTAACTGATCTCACTTTTAGTCACTCATCTCATTGGAGATGGGTGGTGTCTCAGTGGTAGGACAGGACTCAAACTGTCCTGAGACACAAGCTTTGACCTGAAGGGAAGAAGCTATCATAGTGTAAATAATTATATATCTATGTTCAGTACTCTTTGTAGTTATATCAATACCCTGGTAAGGCAATGAACCTAGAAAAATGTAATTACTGTCAAAACCCCTTGTATTTTGTTTTTCTTATTGCACTGTATAAATCCTGTTTGATAATACTATGTCTGGAAATGGAATAGTCATTTGCCCCCTGTAAGGAGTTGTGGTGGTTTGGTTTTGAGCATTTGCGGCAATGCCCTTTTTAAAGGCACTTATATCAAAATAAGTTATGTAAGTTCCTCATCTGAGGCCTGATCCAAACATTATTGAAGTCAAAGGAGGTACCACCAATTTACTTCAGTGTTGCTTGCATCTGTCCCCTGATGTAAATCAGTGTAACTCCATTGTGGAATTATATGGATTTACACTGCTGAGTAAATGGCAATTTTGACCTATTCTGATATGAGGAGGCAGACAGTGAGGAATCCCATTGGCTTCAATGGGACCTCAGTAAGGGATGCAAAATTTAGCTTCTTGTATGTGGCAATATTGAGAAAGTAAGTGCGCCGTAAGAAAGTGTTTCCAATTGAACCATGCAACTTACACATTAATGTGAAGTGGTGCATTCATGCACCTTACTCTCTCTGAAATGTTGGTAACAATCATGGGTTTGCTATACTCAATTTCAGGTGCAGCAGCTCAAAAACTAAACTTGGATTGACCTGGCTTTAGCTAACTTTTCTTTCTGTTGCAATTTGTCTTTTATATGTAAAGAAATTTGGGAAATCCACAGTGGAGCCAGTACATGCTTTGTGAACTCAGATTTCTCACCACAGGTAAATCTGACTAACTACAGTTATATACGCTGGTGCTGTGAATCTGTCAGCTCTTACAAGGGTCACTGTCTGACTTTACTTTAGTAAAAATAGCTGGATAGGTTTTTTTAAAAAGTTATCTCAATAAAAACTTTCCTGAAATAAATCATATTAATTATGTTTAGTTAGTAATTATTACCATTCTGGGCATGACCGGCGCCATTAGGGTCAGAAATACTATGAATAGAATGAACACTAAGAGCCTTGAGCATAAAAGCAGATGGCAGCTGCATGAAATCTTGCACCATCACCTTTCTGAGGAATGTTATCCTATACAATTAATGCACCTCAACAAGAAGGAACAAGGCAGGATTTATCTTACATCCATAACCTAGTAAGTAAAAAAGTGGAAGTATTTTTGTTCAAAACCTACTCTACCTCAAGTCAAGACAAGTTATGCAATTATATAGGGAGGGAATGGCTTAGAAAATTATACTGAATGGAAAACTTCAAGAGCATGGTACACTAAATACGCTGATAAGGATGGCAGTCTTAAAATAACACTGTTAAGTTAAAAGAAATATTTAGAAGGAAAGGTGATCTTGTGTTTCAGACATTAGAGTTGGACTTGCGAGTAGAGTTGATGCACGCCTCCGTCACCTCCATCCAGTGGAAAATTTAAACTTTTCCTCAAAAAGAAAAAAAAAAAAAAAATACTGAGAGCATCTTCAGTTTTCAGCTGAAAACGTTTCAGTTTTCCATTGTGAAGTAGAATATTTTTGAGGAAAGCAGACACTTTCCATATTTTCATTTGGTCAAAAATCTAAAAAATCTGGTTCAATTTCCATATACTTATGAACTTTAATAAACTTTAATCATTGCTTAAAATTAACCCAACCTCTTTTGTAATTCTCACAGTGGGACCAGTACCAGATTTACCATGGGGCCGGGCCCACAGTCCAAAGGGGAGTTGGCCTGGCCCACTCTTCTCTGCCCCCCCCCCACCCTCCGTGGGGGCAGAAGCTTGATGCTGCCGGCTCCTGGGGCTTCTGCTGTAGCAGGGCAGGCTCTGCTGGCAGCCAAGCTCCTCCCCTGCCTCTTCCCAGGAGGGTGTTACATTCCCTCCTCTCCCCCTCCCTGCCAACTATCAGCTGTTTGCTGGCAGGAGGGAGGGGGAAGAATGGAGACTCAGCATGCTCAACGCTCCGGGGAGAGGAGGAGGAGGAGGAGGAGGAGGAGGAGAACAGGTGGGGGCGGGGCCTTGGGGAAAGGGCTGGAATTGGGGCATACCCCCTCCAGCCCCCTGCCGTGAGCATCCCCATGACCCCAGCCCACACCCTCAGCCCTCTGCCCACCCTGACCCCTGCACCTCCTCACACACACCCAGCCCCCTGCCCTGACCCCTGCACTCCTCACACATCTCCCCATCCCCCTGCCCTGACTCCTGCATCCTCCTCATCCCCCCAGCCCCCTGACCTGACTCCTGCACCCCCTCACACCTCCCCAGCCCCCTGTCCTGACTCCTGCACCCCTCACACATACCCACACCCCATGCCTTCACTCATTCGCCCCCCCACATCCCTATCCCCACCCTGACACCAAAAGGAGCTCCTGGACCCCACCCCATTCCCACCTGCACTCCTCACACCAAACAGGAGCTGCCCCAGGTAAGCACTCCACACCCCAACCTCCTGCCCCAACCCTGAGCCCCCATTTCTACCCTAACTCCTGGCCAGACCCCACACCCCAATGTTTTTTTACATTTTTTTTATAAAGCACTCTTATCCAAAGTGCTTTACAATAGTTAGCTAACGGTACAAACAATATTTGGAAAGATCATTAAGTGGTCCGTCAAGACCCTCCGTGATTCTCAAGTGGTCTATGGAAAAATAAGTTAGACTCAAGAACAATCAAGGTACCTCCCTTTATTTTCATTTACTTGCTATTACTTATAGGAGGAGGATGAAGAAAAAAAGAATGAAAAACGGGGGCAGGGGGAGATAAGAGAGAATGTTCTTTTTCTTGGCTGGGTCCCAAGGAGGGCCCACGCAAATGAAGCTGAGCACAGGGCCAGGGGGCCCCACTAACTCTAAATCCACCACTGGCTGTCATGTCACCTGGGTTGGGGATACTGTGTCAGCTGATCCCCACAGTCTCCAACCTACCTGGGCAGTACAGCAGACATGGTCCTGCCCACTAGGTCCTCTCCGCTCCCTAGCCCACCCACCACTTGCTACCCCCAAGGCTTTTCTGGCAGCCCTGTTGCCAGGTATCCAGTTTTAGACTGGAAACTCCAGTAGAAAATAGGACCTGAGTGTCTGGTTAGCGGTGCTGACTGGACACTAAAAGTCCGGTTATAGGAGTAACCACATTAGCCTCTGCTCCTCCCACTCCCAACACCCACCCCAGAGGGCTGGAAGAGAACCTATCCTGCTGCTGCGGGAGGAGGGGCAGCTCAGTGCAGAGAGAGACGAAGAGAATGGGCTAGAACCAGGTAGGTACCCACTCTATGTGAGCGGGGGGAGGGGAGGTGAGGAATCCTGTTTACCCCCTCCCCAACCCTGCTGTGCTTTCAGTTTACCCGTGGCCCCTCCCTTGCTCCAGGGACCAACCCTAGCTCCTGCCCCATTGTGCTTTTGCCCTGGCCCCTTTTACAATCATTCCCTGGGGGGCCCACAAATATATTTGGCGATGGGACCACAAAAAGTTAATCCGGCCCTGAGTGGAACCAATCATTCAAGATTTATCCAAGCCGTGGGATATACTTAGTCCAAAAAGAATTAAGAAGAAGTAGGACTTTTTTTTAAGTCGGGGGGGGGGGGGGAACCGTCACAAATGACAACTAAATAAAGAGATTGAAAATATACCTGCAAACATAAGTTCTGACACATCAGGTTTGACATGGAGACAAGTAAAGAGTGGCAGAGCACACTGTGCCTCATTGACTTTCTCTTTCATCTTGCTCAAAGTGGTATTCATCCTCTGCACAAAAAAAAGAGGAGAGAAGTTACATAAAAACTATTGGTAAAAGAGCAGTCTGGAAATGGATGACCTGCCGCTAGTTGGGAAGACTTCTAGTTTCGTTGAAATCATCAAAAGAGAAGAAGGACCTCCTGAAAAATCAGAATGCATCACCATAAAAGGAGCTAATCTCTATGAATGTCACTATCTGTACAACACATGTTAATGTACAGGAATCAAGGTAGTAAATGCTTAATGCAGCTCCCATTCTCACTGAACTATTTACCATATCTGAGAGCAGGGGGAGACTTTGGGGACCTCTTTGAGGGTGTTTTGAAAATTTGGCAGAGATATGCAGGATGAAGTCAGTGTCTCCCATACACTCTGTTTCCTGTGACTGCTGGGGTAGCAGTATTGGTGGACACTGAAGGTTCTTATCTTCTGTTGTTATAACTGGGCTTGTCTACATGCTATTCCAGAATAGTTATTTCTGATTAATTCCTTGTGTGGATACTCTTATTCCAGAATGAGACTGATTTATTCTGAATTATATCAATCTGGATTAAGACAATTCAGAATATACTCTTAGTTCATAATAAGAGCATCAACACATGAAGTTAATTGGGAATAGTTAGTCTGCTTTAAATGCATACCTGGCTTTATTCCAGATTAATTTTCATGTGTAGACAAACTCTAAGAATAAGCATTAAGAAAAATATATCAGAAGGCTAGGAAGGTCATCAAAACCTTAATGCTTTCTCTTAGGCTGAACCACCATTTACTAAAATGTGATAGATATAAGAAATGTGATCTACTGCATAGGACAGAATCCTGGGAGCCAAGAATTCTGGGTTCTATTTCCAGCTCTTTCAATGACTTGTTGCTTCAATTTGCATATTCAGCTAAATTCTCTGGGCTATTGTTTGTTCCTCTATATAACAGGAATAGTAATTCTAACCAACCTCACCCCAAGAGCTGTTTTGCCGTCCTCTCTGTCAATATTTTACTGCTATTAACCTTGGAATAAGTCAATATCTGTATAGTTTATTTGTACATATGCACACTATAGAGTATCAGACCAATCTATAATAGTCTATTAGTATATTTCATTATATAAGTACTCTTTGCTTATGGTACATGATTAAAGGCAAATCCTGCTCACATGATTCACTGGACTTCAACAAGTCTATTACATGAGTTGGTCAAGCAGGATTGCCTTTAATACTGCACAACAGTACTATCCTATGGCATCTCTTTCACTTTCAGAAAGTTGGTGTAGCGAGGTAGTCACCCCGCTCCCGCCCTGATGGGCTTAAAACAGCCCTAGGAGAGAGCTGCAGCAGGGGAAAATCTAGGCTGATTGAGGGAAGCAGCCACGGGGGGCCATGCCCCAATCAGGCCACGGCTGGCCCTATAAGAGGGCTGAGGGCTAGAGGCTGAAAAAGACACAGAGTCTCTCTCTGGCTCGAGAGAGAGGAGGACCTGGCTGCCTGGGAAGCTAAGCAGGGTACCTGAGGTGGAGCAGTGCTGGGGGAAGGGGTAGAGGGAGCTGGGAAGCTCCAGCCTAGCAAAACCACAGGACACAGGCCGAGTTAAGGGCCCACAAAGGGTACTGGGGCTGCAGAGGGGCAGCCCAGAGACAGGCAGAGGCAGCTCGTCCAACCCCCCTTCCAATGATGAGTGGTTTATAGACTGCAGTCTGCCCCAGGGAGCGGGGGCTAGATGATGACTGGCAGTAACCACTGAGGCAAGGTGGGGATAGGGGGTTGGGGGTTCCCCTGGGTGGGGAGACCCAGATTGTGGGATGCTGCTAGGAGGAAGGGCACCAGGGTCTGGGAAGGACACGGAGCCAGTGGCAGGCAAGACACCGGGCTGGGAAGAGCTAATTCACTGGACGACCAGCAGGAGGCACCATGCCGGTGAGTCGCCGCCCCGCCACAGTTGGTGATAGGAGATTCATAAAATAAATAAATAAATAGACAAACTGGATCTGGGCTATTACTTCATAACAGACATGAAAGACAAATGCTGCTTCTTTTCTTATTCACTAAATGTGCATGGACAGATTGCAATTTTCTTGAATGATTTAGTTATTTGAAATTATTTGACAAATATTCCTGCTACTAAACGTGTTTGATAAAATGTTAGTGAGGACACAAAAAGGTCAATTCAAATGAATATCTGCAGATGTTATTTTCCAGTATTCTCGCAGCTCGAATAACCATAAAAAACACACTTACATTTTGGATAAGTGTTTCCCCTATCAACATTCCAAAGATATCAGTGAATGTTACAGGCTGCCCAGAACGTTTCTTATTCCATAATGCTTCAATGTAGCGTTTGACTTTCTGTGGAGTGAGCAGCAGAAGTGGGTTATGACTGACACAGTTCATCAATTCTTCATTAATCTCCTTTGGTCCTTTCCTTGGGAAATCTGGGTGAGAATACAAAGTTGACATGTACCTGTAATGAAAGTACAGTGATCAATAGCTCTGTCAATAAATACACAAGACACTAGGTCCTGATTTTGCAGTTTGCAGGATAAAGGCCCAAATGAGCTAAATTTACAATAGACAGACTATCTAAGCTTATATTTCACTCAGTTTAACAGATTTCCTATGTGATTATCCATTTTACGCAAAACCCTGGAGTTTTTATGCAGGAAAAGCTCCCATGAATGGGGAGTCCAGGATTTGACCTTCATATCTTATTTACTCCCTATAAAACAGGAATATACCATGAGTAAAATTTTCAAGTATGCTCAATTTTGAAAATGGGACCTAGGTGCTTTTGAAAAATTTTACGGCTGTCAAACGATTAAAAAAATTAATCGCAATTAATTGCGCTGTTAATAATAAAATACCATTTATTTAAATATTTTTTGATGTTTTCTACATTTTCAAATATAATTACACCTCTACCCCGATATAACATGAATTCGGATATAATGCAGTAAAGCAGTGCTCCAGGGGTGTGGGGTTGCGCACTCCAGCGGATCAAAGCAAGTTCGATATAACGCGGTTTCACCTATAACGCAGTAAGATGTTTTGGCTCACGAGAACAGCGTTATATCGGGGTAGAGGTGTATTTCAATTACAACACAGAATACAAAGTGTACAGTGCTCACTTTATATTTATTTTTATTACCAATATTTGCACTGTAAAAAACAAAAGAAATAGTATTTTTCAATACTAATACAAGTACTGTAGTGAAATCTCTTTATCATGAAAGTGCACTTACAAATGTAGAATTATGTACAAAAAAAATGCATTCAAAAATAAAACAATGTAAAACTTTAGAGCCTATAAGTCCAATCAGTCCTACTTCTTGTTCAGCCAATCACTCAAACAAGTTTCTTTATATTTGCAGAAGATAGTGCTGCCTGCTTCTTGCTTACAATGTCATCTAAAAGTGAGAACAGGCATTTGCATGGCACTATTGTAGCCGGTGTCGCAAGAAATTTACATGCCAGATGCGCTAAAGATTCATATGTCCCTTGATGCTTCAACCACCATTCCAGAGGACATGTGTTCATGCTGATGATTGGTTCTGCTCAATAACGATCTAAAGAAATGTTAATTTTCATCATCTGAATCAGTTGCCACCAGCAAAAGGTTGATTTTCTTTTTTGGTGGTTCGTGTTCTGTAGTTTCCAATCAGAATGTTGCTCTTTTAAGACTTCTGAAAGCATGTTCCACACCACATCCCTCTCAGATTTTGGAAGACACTTCGGATTCTTAAATCTTGGGTCACGGACCATACCTATCTTTAGACATTTCACATTGGTATCTTCTTTGCATTTTGTCAAATTTGCAGTGAAAGTGTTCTTAAAACGAACAACATGTGCAGTCATCATCCGAGACTGGTATAACATGAAATATGTGGCAGAATGTGGGTAAAACAGAGCAGGAGACATACAACTCTCCTCCAAGGCGTTCAGTCACAAATTTAATGAATGCATATTTTTTTAACGAGCGTCATCAGCATGGAAACATGTCTTCTGGAATGATGGCTGAAGCATGAAGAGGCATATGAATCTTTAGCGCATCTGGCACGTAAATATCTTGCGACTCCAGCTACGACAGTGCCATGCGAACACCTATTCTTACTTTCAGGTGACATTGTAATTAAGAAGTGGGCAGCATTATCTTCCATAAATGTAAACAAACTTGTTTCTCTTAGCGATTGGCTGAACAAAAAGTAGGACTGAATAGACTTTTAAGCTCGAAAGTTTTACATTGTTTTGTTTTTGAGTGCAGTTATGTAACAAAAAAACCTACATCTGTAAGTTGCACTTCCATGATAAAGAGATTGCACTACAGTACTTGTATGAGGTGAATTGAAAAATACTATTTCTTTTATTTATCATTTTACAGTGCAAATATTTTTAATCAAAGATAATAATATAAAGTGAGCACTGTACACTTTGTATTCTGTTTTGTAATAGAAATCAATACATTTGAAAATGTAGAAAGACATCCAAAAATATTTACTAAATTTCAATTGGTATTCTATTGTTTAACAGAGAGATTAATCGTGATTAATTTTTGAGTTAATCGTGTGAGTTAACTGCGATTAATCGACAGCCCTACAATTTTTATATAATTTATTTTTATATCATTGATATATTCAGGCATGTCCCTGGTTTTGAGGATATATACATCACATTAAAAAAATAAGCTGAATTTAAGAATGAAGAACTACAAATAACTCAAGTGGAAAAAATACAGGAGAATGTTTTATTTTAAAAAGCCACACACACAAATATAACCCATAAGCTAAATTTTAGAAAGATAGGAAGGTATAAGGTAAGCTTAAACATATATAACATGCATGCAGATACACAGAATATAGTCTGAAAAGTTTTACTCAAGGTATATTCTTGTTTTTAAAGGGTTTGTGCATGTATACATACAAAAACACACAGAGTTACGCTTATTTAGCTCTTTTCATGCTCCAAGTACATTATTTTACATTATTTGATGAGTCAGCGCTCCAAATGTAAATGTGACTATGCGTGAAAGCTCCAAATAATTGTTTAAATTGTTCAATTAAATATAATCATGTTAATAAAACTGTACGTGCCAACTGCATTATGGTCTTGACAATTATCTTTCAGCAGCAAATCTTTATCCAGGCACAAGGGTCAAAAACTGAAGTCTTACACCACTCCTTATTTGGGCAAAACCTCTCTTGAAATAAATGGGGTTTTGATTGACTAAGGGCTTCAGAATAGGGGTCCCAAATGCACTGCATTTCAACTAGATAAAACTTGCTTATTTATATATGTGTTTAAGGATTACAAAATTAGAGGAGAAATTATTGCAATAAGCTAACTGTGGCAATTCAGTCTTACTCAGGGAATGACCAAACAAATGTCTCAGTGCCATATTATCAACTCTGACTTCTTTTCATCTAATGTACATACTGGTATGAATACGAACCCTGTCATCTATTATGCAGAGGCATTTGGACCAGATTTACAAAGGTATTTAGGCACTTAAAGATATGGATAGGTCAGTGCTTAATTTGTAAAGAAAAAGGTACCTTGGCTCAAGAAATTAGGTGCTGGGGCTCAAACAATTTTTTTACTTTCATAACTGATGTGGCAAACCGAAAGGTCCCGGGGCTATGAACTGCCAAGCCTGGAGGTGCTGGGACCCAGCCCTGGCAAGCCCTGGCACAAATTAAGCATTGAGATAGGTGCGTAGTGGGATTTTCAAAAAAAAAGTCTAAGCAGGTTAGGCAAGTAACCCAATTTGGTAATTATGTCACCCTCTTGTGGCCAAAAGAGAAATACTACTGCTGTCAAGAAATGTAGATTCTTCACTATTTCAAATTAGCCAAAGCCTTTGTTTGGGGAATTTCCCCCCATGTAGAGTGTATACAGTTTAACGGACAACTGGATTGTCCATACATGTTACAACTCTTCTTAAAAGCCATCAGTGTTACTGAAGTTTATTTTTAGCCCACTATAATTTAAACAGTTTGTCTACTTTACATCTCTGTATGGATGTAAATACAAATAGCTTTTTGCATAATTTAGGTGGGAAAGATTCACACTGTAATGTATGCAGTAATATATATGAAAATAGAGCCTAGATAGTCCTTATCAGTATATGTTGGCTTACGTCTACTGTACTAATAAGTAAAGCAAATAAGGAAACGAGCATCTTTTTTTTCTTTACATTTTACAAACCAATTTAAAAAACTACTAAAATCAAATGTACAAACTGGAAACAACCCTCAGTCCAAGTGAACGGTATTTTACACATTTAAGACATTACTCAGCTATACACTTACACTCATACCTAACCTTAAAGACCCAAGCAATCCCACTGCCATCAATGAGTATTCACATACTTAAGAAAAGGCATGTCCATAGGGCTCCAATCCAGCAAAGCATTACTGAGGTAATAAAAATTACCATAATTCCAGGAAATTCTTTAAAACAATAAAATGGAGAGCTGGAAAGTAATTCAAAGCACATATGCTGATGATTAAAACCAAATTGATTTGGCCAGCATTTACACAACTTAGCAGTCATCTCATAAATTAGGACTGAAGTGGAGAAATTTAAAAAGTTGATTGCAAATATATTTTTAAAAATGGACAAGCAGCCAGATACTCCACAATCAATTTCAAAGTAATTGAAAGATTAAAGAGTTTATAGCAGCATCCAGCTGTTTGTAACTCATCTTTTTAAGAGGTGAAGAACAGAAACATCTAAGCTGATATAACAGCTTTTAAATACTCACAGCAAATGAAGGTTTGATGATTGGAGGTTATGTAAAAAGTACACAGAGTCCTCATGCAGTAACATGTACTCTATCTCTCTTTCTCCAGTCCTCTCTTTTATTGATGTCATTTAATCTTTTACTTTTTATTAATGCCATTTGAAAATTAATAGAAGTGTGGGTTATCAGTTAGCAAGAGCCAGATATTTTCACAATTAAGGGACAGTAAAGGAGTCACATTTTATGCAGTGTTTTAGTGCGTTTTAGAATTTAAAGTAGACCAACTGGGCAGGAAGCCTCTGGGTTCTGTCAGGGGATTTTAGATCAGTCATTTATTCTCACTGTGCTTCAGCATAATGAAACCTATGCCACATGTCCAATGCAAGATTTAATTAGTGTTTGCAAAGTGCTTTGAGAGTTTATGGTAGTGCAAAGTATTAACATGTGTATCAAATCACAGGTGAAACTAAAGTGTGTGTGAAAAAAGGAAAACGTGATGCGGAAGATCAGTCTATGGTCAGGCAAGGTGACTGACACAATTAATAAGGTAGACACCCTCTTCCAAGATCAAGCACACATCTTGGGGAACAGGCAGAAACCTGCCCTTTCCCTCAAGAGAAGGAACAGGGAATACTCCACCCTTCAGATGGAAGCATAACCCTGTTCCTGGGGGATAAATGGTATGGAAAAGAAAAAACAAGGAGGTACTGGCTAAGTGTCAAAAATAGAATTTCTTTATATTACACAGGACAATTCTGAAAAGATGATATCACCCAGACTGTGCGGACTTATTCGATTAAACCTCAGCTATTTTTAAACTTATTTTTCTGACCTGATTGGTTTAAAGAATTTTACTATTTTGATTCAAATTCTATTATCTTTACAGTACATCGACATACAGGGTTGAACTCTCACCAGCGCTGTATTTGTTTAAAATGTAGCTCAGTGAGATCCAGACCTCAGGCAAAATTGGCTCACGTTCTGACTAGTAAGTAGCTAATTCAATGAACTTGCAGACTTAACTGAGGCAGGAAGGACAGCTGTTATTTCTCTCAACACAGTTTACCAGGGCTGGCATAAAGGGGAGATATAGGTTTGGCACCAGTCTGATGCTGGCTTCTTTTCTGGTTTCAAACTGAGCAAAAGCTGATAACAGCAAAGGCACTCTTTAGCTATATAGGAAAGAAGCAAAGCACCACCAACACACAGAGTTTCTGCCACATCTTGGGGTTAACATGAACAAATCACAACATGCCCACTTTTCTGCAAGCCATATTCCATTCTACCCTGCTCTTACCAATGGTAAAGAACTTCATATGGGGACATCCACTGTTAATTCCTCCAGAGAAAATGGGAATATATCTCAAAAGCCAATAGTTGGAGACATGAGCTTCTTTCTGGCACTATGTGTTCCCATCTTCTTATGTCCACATGTGAGATGTCTACTTAGAACTTGGCACATATACTAATGCATTTATACCAACCAGTGTATCTTCATCCTGTAGTGAAATTCTAATGGTCTTGACCCAAGTTCAACAAGACCTTTCATTTCTGCAGCAAATCCAACATGCACACACCCAGGTCTCCTCACAAAAAATCTGATTTTTGTTTTCTTGAGCAAGGAAAAATCATCAACCTTTTTTGTGTAAATTTGTTCTTAAGGGGCTAGAGTCCCTGGTCAAGGGCTCCTATGGCAGAAAGTACACAAGGCTATGGTGATGCCAAACTGTTAAAATCTCTCCTACCTACAAGGTGGCCCACCAGTTTGAAAAGTGAGGACATTGGTTGTATAGTGACATGGCTATTGGAGATGAGAACTGTGTTAATTCAGATCCTCACTGATCAAGCTCCTATGCAACCCTCTTGGAGTTGAAGTTGCCTACATCCTGCCAGGTACTCCAAAATACTAGCAACCGAAGCTCAACTCCATTGCCACTCTACTGCACTGGATGGAGAATTCCTTCCCCCTGGTGACTGTAACCTACATCATAAAATTCATTCTCCCAGTTATCAGTGGAAAGTTTCCACTGCACCAAAACAAAGTGGGGCTGGGGGAGGGCACAGAAAACTTACCATGTAGATCCAGATAGACCAGCAATATATGTTGCACAGTCTAAAATTCCTGATTCATAGAGTGCTTTCATAACTCCAGAAAACCCTACCATGGCACGAAATCCACCACCTGAACCCAACACCGCTATCACTGGTACCTGGGCAAATGAAAAAGACAGCACACAGTAAAATTGGCTTCAAGGATGCATTTTAAAGAGCTAAATATATTTTGTGTCCACCAACCAGTAGCCAAAGACATCAGACTTGTGCAATTAATAGTCACCATTCAACAGTCCCCACAGCAGAGACTCAAAGATGAATCCTTATCATCTCTAGGCTGCAGATCTTACAAGAGAACCAAAATGGTTCCTCTTAACATTAGAAAAGACATTAAGCCTTATGATCTAAAAATAATAAATCCACAGAATTTTTTTTTTAAAGGAAACATCTCTGAGTAACATCTCAGTGAAGGAGCCAAAAGCAGTGAAATTTCAGATCTACAGCCTTTATCAGAGAGACTTAGCTCTCTCTTTGGAAGGTGTACTAGTCATCTCACTTACTGACAGCTATTGGAGTGGATGCTCATCCACACATAGGTCTTGGGCACCCATGATTATTCTTTAGGGGGTCTTTAAATTGGCCCTTATTGCACATCCTTATTTATAATTTAATGATCTAACACATCTTTAAGGGGTCATACGGTTGACAAACTTATTTTGTGTTGAAAAAATTTCAGTCCTTTACTATCAAGTTTTACTTCAGTTCAAGTTTGAATAGATATGAGATATTTCAGTCAAATAGGAAGGGGAGAGGGATGGAAATCCTAACACAGCAATAACTAAAGCTCCACTACCATGAAAAAAAAATTGCCATGTAGAATAATTTTTAAGTGTCCAATCCTACATGTTATACACACCCCAAACTCCCACTAACTTTAGGAAGACTTTGGACCTAAAGGATCTAGAGTTTCTGATGTATCTATTATCTTAGCCTTGCACCATACCCCACCACAGAAAAAAGAGTTAGACAAAATAATTTCCAACAAAAAATTGAAAACAGATTTTTCTCACAAGATTGAGTACCCAACATTTAAGACAATTGTGTATCTGTTTCATGTCATTTATTTGTCAAATCCATTGTAAATAGTAGGCTGTGTACATTGTTTATAAGCAGCTATGGAATTCAATAAAGATCACCAATTATAACAATTCATAATTGCTTAGCTGACTCCCTAACTATCCTCTTCCACAACAATAAAGGGAAGATTTTCAAAGGCACAAATGGCAGATAGGCACCATCTCCCATTGACTTTTATTCCGCTTTGTGCCTTCACATGCTCCTCCTCAATCGACTATGGACTTAAAGTAGTTAGGGATTAGGGAGGAGGGGAAACTAATAGATAACAAGAATCCATTCCCTCCATTAACACTGGATACTGTCCTCAGCTTGAGAATTTAACTGATGCTATTCTTGACTCAAGGACAAATGCCAAGTTATACATTTCCAAGGTGGAGCTGTATACGGATATACAAAAAACAGAAACTGCTATTGGATGGCCAAAGTGAATGCACATCAGAAACAAGGGTGTGTGTGTGTGGAAATCCTCAAACCAGTGAAGAAAAAAGGAAAGGGGGATGGAATTTCACTAACAGGGTGAAATCCTTGTTCTATTGAAGTCAATGGCAAACCTCCCATTGATTTAAATGAGGCCACGATTTCATCACTCTCTTTTTCTTAGTCTGCAAATCCCAGGAAAGTCAGTTTGGCCCATAGAGTGGTAAATTAATCCCACTATCTAATCTCTGATATAATCCCTCTAGTAGTTATCTCAGTCCCAGTCTATTTCGTGAGCTGCGTGAATAAAACAGCAGCAGTAACCAAAATCACTGATCAATTTATACATCTCACTGATGACACTTCTTATACCCATGACAGGAAAGTGCTGTACATTATCTAAAGTATGATTTCAACATGCTATCCAACATGCCAATCATAGTTTACTTAAGAAATATTAAATCAACCAGGGCAAGGTTGTGCAATTATTACCCACAGGAACTAGTGCCTTTCTCTTCATTTAAATGGCATTACTTGCAGAATAAGGTACTGCAAATAAGGGTGGAAGAATCTGGCTCTACTGCATTTTATAACAGTGTGTGATTCTTTTGATGAAAGCAAAAAAATGTTTTAATTTGGATTTTATTAATTTCAATGTTTGCTTCCTGTATGTGCACTGAGACATTTTGATATTTACAGTGGTTAGGAAGATTTTAAGGATGGATGCAGGGAAAACAAATTTTATAGTTTACTTATTTATACTTTACATGGGAATTTTAACACAGGCTGCAAGTTTTAAGTCAACATTGAAATAAATCAGCAATGAACCCCACTTTTGCTTCTTAGATCTAAAACACATAGCCAGTGGAAATGGCTGCACCCAATAATTCCAAAACTTTGGATGTCATCTTTGACCTTCCGCTTTATACAAAAGATTGGATTTTAATTCAGTAAAAGATTAACTGATTAGTGTTTGTACAGCACTTTTCAGATGTAAAGCACCGTATAAGTTCTAGGTATTAATAATTCCAACCACAGGTATTTATTGGCATTATCATTCTTTGTCATTCTGTACAAGGGATAGGTTTCTGTCAAAGAACAACAAAACTAAAGTGAAGAATTAGGACATGCCTGTTTTACTAAACCAACACTGATAGAGCAGTTGCTTTGAACAGTAGAGCTATATTAGTATATTACTCAGCACTTACAGTGTGCTTTAAACTTTGGAAGCTCCTTGCAAACATTAGCTAATTGATCTATAAAAGCAAATCTCAACAGGCTGAGCAGAGGGGAGTTCCAGGTGTAAGCTCATAAGAGGAAAACTATTTAAGGATGCTCCCAAACCATCACTGGTCAGCAAGTCTATTAACCAGTGTAATGGCAGGAGCAGGAGGGAAAGGCTGAATCTCCTTCAGGACACAGCAAACTCTAAAAGGCTGCTCTTTGAAGTGTTGAACAGAGTTCAAGAGAGTTACATTCCCTCTGTATTTAAATCCACAGCCATCATGGGAATCACAGAATTCATGATATAGCGCTTATGGGAAGTGACCCATTGCTGCATGCAGAAAACTCCCACTAATTTTAATAGCCCCCAATGTATCAAAGAGAGTATAGAGCTTAGAGTCATGCCTGATTGTGGTACCTCTTCCCTTGTGGAGAATTGGTTTTGAAGGGATTCTTCTTATTTAAAACTACTCTTCCTCCTATTTTGGCTAGTTACTTGATGTAATTAAAGACCATGTCAGTGACAGAGAAAAATAATCTTTGCCATAGGAGAGAGGACTCCTGCTGCTGCATAAATGCCTATTTCTTGTATGGTCACCTCCTCATTTCCAGCAACACAAATCTAGAACAGAGCTATAGCATGGGCCTGTGTAGAAAGGAAGCGGGTAAGAAATATAGCACGTCCCAACCACACCTTTATTAACCACTTTGCCCACTTTGAAAAATAACTGGGTGGCCTAGGGCCGTGCAAAGAAGTAGCTGTTGCTATGAGAGGAGCAGCTCGGCTCCATGCATTTGGTTTCAGTTCATTCAACCAGTGTAAAATATGTGTCGAGTGCAGCCTTGCATATTAGTACTATAGACATAGTAGAGGACAAGTTTATTGCCAGACTTTCCCCACCCCCAACTCCTCAAAACCAGAAAAGGGAGAGCGGGAGAGAGGAATATAAGAGGATTTTCCACTGTTCAAGGAAAGGTGAAGTGCAATTCTAAATATGTAACTTCCCCATTTGTAAGGCTTTGCTACAACTGCTTTTGTGCAATGCAATTTTCATAAAGGCTTATATGGAAATATGCAAGGAACATACACTGTGAAAAGCAGACATGCCCAAGTTACAAGTTTTCACCTAGATCAATGGGACCTGAGGGAACAGAAACAGAGAAGGAGATGCAGGAATTGGGGGTGAAGGGAAAAAAGCCTCTTCAATATTGTGGCGAGCAAAGGGACAGCAGCAATTGGGAAACAAGCTTGCCAGCAATCAGAGAATACAGAACAGCCAATCAAAAGTGTCCCTATTTCCCTATCTGTCAGATGCTAGTTGCTATGCTTTCTGGGCACTGTACACAAAGCTGACCAAACACCAGAATTTGTGTGTCACTGGAAATTGTGAGATTTCACATTCCCTGCAAAAGTCTATCACATTCTGCTAATGCTAAAAGAAAAAGACAGCTCCCTAACCTAAACCCATATATGTGCTGTAAGGACAGTCTGCAATTCAGTATCATCAGCCAGCCAATGTGCAGAGACCAAATAATTGTCATTAGGATTAATTGCTGGTAACAAAAAATGATCCTTAGACATTAATGGCCAGATTTACAAAGGAATTTAGGTCCCTAAAAATGCAGATAGGTGCCTGGTGGGATTTCCACATATGCCTAAACAGGTTAGGTGCCTAATTCCCAGTGAAAGCCATTGGAGTTAGGCGCTAGTCCATGTAGACAGTTTTGTAAAGCTCACTGTGTGCAATCTGTATCTTTAAACACCTAAATACCTTATAAATCTGACCCTAATGACTTGGTTTTCAGAAGTGCTGAGCACCCACAGCACCAGCTGTAGTCAATGGGACTTGCAGGTGCTTATCGCCTCTGAAAAAATCAGACTGCAAAGACCCAGTCATGCAAGTGTTCTCAGCAGAGTGCAAGCACCTTGTAGGAGCTGCCCAGCACTTTGCAGTATAAAGCCCTAAGTGTCAGAACCAGGATGTGGGCAGTCTTATGGTTAGAGCCAGAGCCCAGCCTAGTGGTTAGATCAAGGGACAGGAGTCAAGCCAAGAGTCAGAGCTGGGGTCAGAAGCCACTAACTGAGGGGTTCTCAAACTGGGGGTTGGGACCCCTCAGGGGGTCGTGAAGTTATTACATGGGGGGTTACAAGCTGTCAGCCTCCACCCCAAACCCCACTTTGCATCCAGCATTTATAATGGTGTTAATATATATAAAAAAGTGTTTTTAATTTATAAGGGGAGGGTCACACTCAGAGGCTTGCTATTTGAAAGGGGTCACCAGCACAAAAGTTTGAGAATCACTGCACTAACCAGAGCCCAGGCTCAGAGCCAGCATCAGGAGTCAGGAAAGGGAGCAGAGCTGGGGCAGACTGGAGGAGGAGCAATGATGAACTGGCTAATCCAGGCTCAGCTGAGAGGGAACTCAACCCCATGGTTCCTGACACTAAAGATACAATAATACCAACAGAGAAAGAGCTGATGGATCTCTGATCTAACAGAAGTAGTAACTTTCTTTTAGGTGTGTTTTGTTAAGGATTCAGAAAGAAAAGAACCGAAAACTATGTTACAGGCTGTTTAATTAAAGTGTCAATAAAGATTAAAAGCCAAGGTTTTGATCCTGAAATGTGCTCCATCCAGGTAGATCCCTGTGCCAATGTAGAGCGCTACTGACTTCAATGGGGCTCCATAAGCATGAAACTCATTGCAGGATAAATCTAAAAAATTAACTTACAACTTTGAGAGATGGCACAATCAGCCTCATCTGATATCATGAATCTGCTGGGACTAAAAGATGTTTATTTGTACTTATACTAAACTTTGAATTGTACCCTTCATCCTATTCTTTATTTTCATGTCTTTCAGAAAGATAGAAATAGGATTGCAAAGGTAATACTGATCTGGCTGCTCAGGTTGTAATTATTTACAGAAGCATTTCAAACCTACATCGCGGGAAGTGGCCAAGTTCTTGCTGTTTTCTGATCCTAAAAGAGTTTTCATTTTGTGCATGATATTCTCCCTCCGCTGCTGTCGAAACATCTTCTCCTGATCACACAGAGCCATGCTGAACCGGAGGTCAGTTGAAGAGCTGTTTTGCAAAACAGACAGACTGTGAACCCCAAAACAGATAAACAAAATTTCACCTACGATCCCATAGACTTTAATGGGAACAGGAACAAGTGCTAATGGTTTACATTATAAACAATAAAATACGAAGTACTAGATAAATTGCATAATCATACTATAATGTACCACATTCCATGAAGTCATTCTAAGGGGGAAGAATGGTCACAGTGTCTCTTTAGCAAATATGAATCCTCCCAGTATTCAACTCATTTTATCTGGCAGGACTGCAGCTCACAGACTAATGAACATGTGAAAGAGAAGACATAAAATATTCAGCTGCTAGTAATGTATTCTGTGGCCTTTTTAAAAAAATAGTAAAGTTAACACTTATAAAAAGGTTCTAGATTCACAGCTCAGGAACTTGAATTCTCTGCTTATCCACAGATCAAAGACAGTATGAACAACTGCAGTGAATGCTTCTTTGCATAACCCCACCAGCACACGTTAATGTTGACTTAGAGGTGCTGTGTCAAGTAGTGAGATGATAATTTAATCTCTATGGACACTCAGTCCTTGGCCTCTCTCCTGAGATTGTCATTGAGTGACAAATGTGGTAGCAAACTCAGCAGGACTTGCACCAATGTAGTTTAGGCCAGAAGGGGATCCCTAATGTAGCCAGCAGGGCCTAATTTTTGTATTGAGATTTTCTTGGGATTCCACAGACTGGGCTCCTACTTTCCACTACACATAGTGTAGGCAGGGTAAGAAGTTTCATCTGCCATTTGACCAGGGATGGTTAAGACTCACTGATCTTGTACACCACTCTGAGGGTGTGATTCCCAATACTCCCACTGTACTTTTTATTGCATGACTATTTATCACTTTATCATGCCCTTAACTTTGACTTTGTGAGTAGTGCCACTGAATTCAATGAGACCACTCATTGAAAGTTAAGCACGTACTTCATGTTTTGGTGCATCAGGGCTACAGTCTGTATGTTGGGAAAGGGGTGTTGGGGGGACCTGGCAAAAATCTTTGCTCGCATATACCTCACTCAAAGTGAGCCATTATGAAAGATGAGCTAAACAACTTGGGTATTTTGACAACTTAGTTACTAGACAGCACATCCAAGGTTTCTTTTTGACAAACATACAGACCTGTGAACATGTAACATCTTACATAAAGTGGGAATATACATCAAAAGACCTTGAATCAAACTGTTATGCAGTCAGATGAACAGAATAAGTAAAGAAGAAAAAAGATTGCCTAGAAGCAAGGAACCACCAAAATGCATATAATGGTGTAATTCAGAGAGCAGTGACTGTTGTACTGTACAGCACAACTGAACGAAATTCAAGATTTCTGAGTTTCATCAGTTAAATTAAACAGCATATTTCATATGTAGTCGATGAAAATTACAGACATGAAAAATACAGTAACCAGACTGGCTAAACGCAATGCCCTGGCCTTGGATTTAGGAAAACAGTGGACTGAATGTTGCTGTCATTTACATCTCTGCAGTCTCTCTACAACCAGTGGGGTTTCCAGAGTGTAGCTGGGAGCATAATTTGGTCTCTTGTGCCATTTTGTTAAGATATCCTAATATATTCTGTAATTGCAACACAACATGGCTATGAGGCTTGTATTGAGTTAACATCATAAGCATGAATTAATCACAACTTGTTGTGTCTAAATGTATAAGCCACAGGAGTTCTAGGGGTGGCCCAGTGGACCACACACAGATGCACATCTGCTGGCATAAAGAATAAGATGAAACAAACCCTGGGGGCTGTTTTCCACAGCCCCTTAGCCATAAGGAGTCATATTTAATATAGTGATGATGCCTGAAATAACTACTATAGTTACAGAAGAAAATTAGTCGATTTTTAAGTTCTCTGTTTTCAGTTGCTCATAACTTTTAGATTGAAAATTTTGATGCCTGACCTATTCCTCAAAATACGTTGTTTCTCTGAAGAGAGGAGAAACCACACATGATAAAAATTAGTCATATCACTTAATGCACTGATGGGTGGTGTTCAGATACTACAGTGATGAGGATGGTATAAGAATTTAAATAGATTAGGATTAAATAGAATTCGCTCCTCTCCCAAATATATTTATTTGACTAAATAACTTCAGACATTCTTGAAAAATGAGAAGTGAATTTGGAGCAGGAACCATCTTTCTGGTCTGCATTGGTACAGTACCTAGTACAATAGGGCTCTGGACCATGATTAGGGCTCCTAGGTGCTACAGTCATACAAATAATTTTTCCTCACTTTCAAAAAATATTATGACCACATTTTTCTTCAGAGGGATCATTCAAAAAAATAGTTGATCTACAAAACCAGGTCTCTAAATAGCCTTCATTGAAGAATTATTTCTTACTTTGTTATGTGCAGGGATGAGGAATGACTTTAAAATAAAGATTTTGACATGAAAATTTGAAGGTGCGCACTAGAGCTTTTCATTATTTGCTTACCCTGCAAAGACTTATGCATGTGCTTACCTTTGTGTAAGGGGACTGTTGCCCCCTTACTAACATTCAGTGGGGGTGTTTTGGTTGGCTAGCTCCCAGCACTAAAAGGG